AAGCCTTCCTCAATACAGAAAAGCTTGCCAAAGCTAAGACCCCTTCAATGGCGTCAGTAGAGCAATATTTTAACGCCAGCGCTTGTTCCATGTGGTAAATTAACCGGGAAGGTGAAGGCCCGGTGAACAAGACTTGGGATCGCCAATATTGATGGTGGCGTTAGGACCCTCAGTTCTCATAGAAATCAAGAAGTTAGATATATTATTGTAAGACAGTATTTTCCACCAATCTAACCAAGTACAATCCAAAATGGGCATCGCTCATTGAGTTGATTGGGCAAAGACTGATGCAATCAGGCGCGAGCATGGCGCAAAAATCGGCTAATTGGCAAGGCTTATGTTCATTCACCAAGACATCTTATCTTTGACTCACGCCGTTAATATTTGCTTGGGACTTACCAGCCAGGCGTTCTTTAGACCGTTATAGCGTTCTTTTCAAATACTAGGATAATTCGCCATCTCTACATTGGGATCTCGTCCGTTCGCTGGCGTCGATGGCATCATGCAGATACTTGAGCACGAATTTTGTGCAACCTTTCACGCTGGGTTGAACTGATATTGTTACTCACTACATTTGATATATAAAGTGCTCGGTCTCAATAACAATGAACAGCATTCACTCAGTGCCGAAGTTGCAATTTCGCATCCCTGCTTGTCTTGTCCTTGATTTGGGGCCCGTACACCCAGGATAGCCATGACATCGACACTTTCCAAGGATCTTGGGTCGGACTCTGAGCCTCAGAACGACATTCATCGACACAAAGATGGTTCTGTGATAACAACCCTTGCCGAGCCAGAGGAGCAACGGGAGTCCGTGTCGCTGTTTAGTGCGCTTTTCTCTCGGAAACGAAAGGTCGATCCGGACTCTATTGCGACAGTTCGAAGTGTGTTCGATGATCCCCAGTTAGCGCAATTCTACCAGCCTTGCGCGGACTACGAGAATCTGCACAGATTCGATCCGGACGAAAGATGGACTCACCGTGAAGAAGTCTCGGTGCGCCGCAAGACCGACTGGAAGATTCTCTTATGGATCCTTATCATGTTCTTTGGTCTCAATCTCGATCGAGGAAATCTGGGAAGTGCCGCAGCTGATAACCTCCTCGATGATCTGAAGATCACCACCAACGACTACAACAACGCGCAAAACATGTATCGCGTCGGCTTCCTCATTGCTGAGATTCCGTCTCAGATGCTTGGAAAGAGATTGGGACCTGATCGTTGGATTCCCTTTCAGATCATCCTTTGGAGTCTAGCATCCGGCGGCCAGTTTTTTATGCAAGGTCGCTCAGGCTTCTTCGCTTGCCGCTTCTTTATTGGCCTATTCATGGGTGGCTTCATCCCAGATTCAATCTTGTACCTTTCGTACTTCTACACCAAAAACGAAATGCCATTCCGTCTTGCATTGTTTTGGTTCACTGATTCCATGTCAGGTGTGGTTGCCTCATTTATCGCTTATGGTGTTCTGCACATGCGCGGTGTAGATGGCCGCGAAGGTTGGCGATGGTTGTTCCTCATCGAGGCACTCATTAGTCTCGTGATAGGATTCCTTAGTTTCTTATTCTTGGTACCGGGTCCTACCCAGACAAAGACTTGGTGGAACCCTAAGGGATACTTCACCGAAAAAGAAGAGAAGATCATTGTGAATAAGGTGTTGCGAGATGATCCGTCCAAGGGCGACATGCACAATCGCCAGGCCCTTTCTCTCAAAATGTTCTGGCAAAGTTTGATGGACTATGACCTGTGGCCGATTTACATCATTGGAATGATTTTCGAAATCCCCTCTTCGCCACCGAAGAGCTATCTGACGCTTTCACTCAAAGGGATTGGATTTAGCACCTTCGAGACTACTTTGTTGACAATTCCTGTCACTGTTTTCGCCTCCATCAATTTGCTTCTTATAACCGAGTTGTCCGAGCGTTTACAACAAGTCTCCTTAATCGGTCTTCTCAGTCAAATATGGACTTTCCCACTTCTCATAGTCCTTTACACATCAGTTGGATCACTGTCACACTGGAGCATGTATGCGGTTTCTTTCATTCTTGTGGGTTGGCCAAACCCGCAAGCAACACATGTTGGCTGGTGCTCGCGCATCAGTAATACTGTGCGAACTCGAAGTATCAGTGCGGCGCTTTTCAATGTGACCATCCAACTTTCCGGAATTGCATCCTCCAACATCTACCGCGCAGATGATAAGCCAAACTACCGTCGTGGAAACGGTCAACTCATCGCTATCAACGTCGCTACTATGGTTGCCTATGTTTTGGCAAAGTTATACTACACGCGCAGGAACAAATGGAAGAAGGCTCAATGGGACAAGTTCACCCCAGAGGAGAAGGCAACCTATCTGAGCACTACTACCGATGAAGGAAACAAGCGATTGGACTTCCAGTTCTATAGCTAAGCGCAGCTCCTATGTGATATCTGCTACACCTATCTGTATCTAGGATTATACCTCATTGGAGTGTTTTATTCTGTTCTCGTCATATTTAATATATCAGGGAGGAGGGGGGCACTTTCTCAGAATCAAAAGGATCTTCATATATTATTCCAAGTTTGACTATGTTGCAAATATTTGTAAAAAATCCCCAATCATATAAATGTACATGTTTATACCTCATCCCTGCTATCAAGGAGAGGATCGCGCTCTGATACCCCTGGCTTATTCTCTGCAAATCGCTCCCGATATAGAACAAAGTGCTGAAAGATGAAAATGAGATCGAATAGGACGGTGATGTTGCCCAGCAGTAATTTGGCGATGTTGCCGACGGCACCCGACCAGTCCCCTTGCATCGAAGAGTCTAGCACCAGCTGCATCAGTGACAGAATCGCACCGGACAGATCTAGCAGGATTGCCACGATGGAAAACCCCACTGTTGACTGCCGCCGATAATTCATCACCACCTGGGGTGTGTATTTGACGGCTGTCAGGAACACCTTGATCATGCCGAGCACATAGACCTTACGCGAATATTTCAGTCAGTATATGTTGACTAGAAAATGAGTTCACCTGTCGCTTTGTCCTCTTACCACATCAATCCATTCCCATGATGCCAACGCCAAAACGCAAAGAATGGCCAGGGGGACCGCCCCCAGACAGCCCCAAAAAACTCCGAGAGCCAAGGCACTCGGCCGCTGCAGCTGGGAATCAAATTTCCAGAACCCAGTGCAAATGAACTGGCTACAGATCCAGCAACAGATCAGCGCTCCGTGCAGGGCATAAACGAAATCATTCCATTGAACAGTCGGTTCAGGGCTCTGCGGATGTCGCTGGGCATACTGAGCGCGCACGACCGACGAGAAGAGGAAGCAGGCATTGGAAACAGTGTATGCGGACAAGCCGAGCACATTGAGCAGAGTAAAATCAATAGAGAAGCCGTCGGTCGAGCGGCGGCGGTGGTTGTGTAAAACTTGCGGGTAGAATGACAGCGACCACAGGATGAAATAGGCCCAGCCAAGGGTTTGAGAGATGCTTTCTGTCAAGGTTGCCTTCATCGTGGAGATGTAGATGAATTTCAACAAGGACAAATTGTACTTGATGGAAATTGAATATCGTCTGATTCCCAGGTCTCGGAATAGACGCCGGAGTTCGGGATATCCGGAGTTCAGCCTCACGACCCTCGGCGGACTCAGCGGTGATCTATGATATTAACAAGATGACCAAGCATCGACACGCAAGTTGGAATAATGATGATGACGGAGGTTTTTACTCTGTATCCAGTAACTCGAATGAGTTGCTCTCTCTCTAGTTTTCTATACCATTAACAATAGCAGCAAGATTTGTAAATTGCTCTCTTCTTTTTTTATTCTAACTATTGCAAATATACATGGACTACAACACGGGTATGGAGTAGACAATGCCTTTTTCGCTCCATTCTTTTTGGTTTCTTAGGTAGAGTTAGGGTTTTAACTCCGAGATATCGGACTTTGGTTCAGACCTCGGGATTGTTAGTCATCCGCTGCTGGGTCCACCCACCCGTGGACAGGTCCAGTAGACGGGGTCTGGGTTCGAGATCCTCGATCCCATAACATCAACATGGCAATACCTAAGCCTTTGCCAATCAAGCACTGGGAATCATTGATAAAGCGGGGTCTCAGTCGAATGCCAAAATGAAGACGAAATAGAACCCATGCAGGCGCCCGGAAACCCATCTCGATTACTCCGTACTGCCAGCCACTACGACAATCAACTCAAGACTAAACCTTCCAAGGGGCTATATGATACTAGACAAGCAGATTTCTGCGACAAGAATTCCGTTGACGCATGGAGGGGAAACGAATCATAAACACCTCATTGAGAATGTGGAGATGATGTCGTGGGGCTTGCCCAGGTGTGACATCTGATCTAGCTACAACATTTGTCAGCTCACTACGGAGTACCTAGGTAGTTAATCCCAATACGAAACAACATCCGTTGTAATGCGATTGAAAGCGTCTGAAGCGACTAACCTGCTTACACTCTTGCACTTTGTAGTTGATTGATATTCTCTTCGGAGGAGTCTACTCTCCATCTTGTTCCTGTCCTATAGAGGGTAGCTAGTTTCACTAGCAGTTTTTGAGCCAGGCTTTTAAATAATCTATCAAATGACATATATTGACAGAGGAGGGCACAGCTCTCTTATTACAAGCGAACTTTTAATTACCCCGGTAATAAATAACCGGGACAAAGGAATCCTCCAGGGCTTTCAATCTTGGAAGTGCATCGAAGAGAAGGAGGTGCTCCATTTATCAGCACGATAAGAGTGGGCCAAAACGGGATTAGTGGAGAAAGCTTTCAACCAATCATAATATGAAACTGCGCATGGGAAGCCTTGGGTGGGGGCCTGAGCGCTCAGGCATTAATAGGGTTAAACCCTTTTGCCACAGTGCTGCTTGGAAATCAAGACCCGTGACCACAGCGAAATCGACCCTCTTTTCTCTTTCTCCTTCCGAACCCTCGACAACCACCGACAACCTATACCCAGTTCGCAGGAAGTGCCATCACCACCCTTCCAGCACTCAAAATGGCCCGTCGTCCCGCGAGATGTTACCGCTACTGCAAGAACAAGGTGCGTGCCGATTTCGATTTCGCGAGCTTTTGAAGATTTGTGCGGGTTATCTTGGTGGTGGGGAGTGTGCATCAATACATCATCGACGACCACCTCGCCATGACCGGAATATCGCCTTTGCTGTGAGGAGCGATCTTTATAGCACTGTGCCTGTGCATCTTTTGAATTTTTTTTTTTTTTTTAAGATGGGCGGTTTCGCTGATATCAGTCTTCAACATCCAGCCTTACCCCAAGTCCCGGTTCAACCGTGGTGTTCCCGACCCTAAGATTCGTATCTTCGATCTTGGTCGTAAGAAGGCCAACGTGGATGACTTCCCCATGTGCATCCACTTGGTTTCCAACGAGTACGAGCAGCTGTCCTCCGAGGCTCTCGAGGCCGCCCGTATTTGCGCCAACAAGTACGTTATCCGATCCGCTCCCACGTCTCTCGCCTGACCACCATGGACACAATCTCATATAACTTTCAATAGGTACCTCGTCAAGATCGCCGGTAAGGAAGGTTTCCACCTGCGCGTCCGTGTGCACCCCTTCCACGTCGTCCGTATCAACAAGATGTTGTCTTGCGCTGGTGCCGATCGTCTGCAGACCGGTATGCGTGGTGCCTTCGGTAAGCCCCAGGGTCTCGTCGCCCGTGTGAACATTGGCCAGATCATTCTGTCCGTCCGCACCCGTGACGCCCACCGTGCTACCGCTCTCGAGGCCCTCCGCCGCTCTCAGTACAAGTTCCCCGGTCGCCAAAAGATCATTGTCTCCAAGAACTGGGGCTTCACCCCCGTCCGCCGCGAGGAGTACCTCCAGCTCCGCCAGGAGGGCAAGCTCCTCCAGGACGGTGCTTACGTCCAGTTCCTCCGTGGCCACGGTTCCGTCGAGAAGAACATGAAGCGCTTCCCCGTTGCCTACGAGAACGTCGCATAAATGTTGATGGGTTGATCAGAATATGAAGTTCAGAACAAAAATACTTGAATGTTCTATTGTCTTTACCTTGTCCCATTCACCTTGATATCTCGTGCAATCGCGATGATGGAGTTCTTCTAGGGGTCTTTTCATTTGCTCGCCTATATTGCACTCGTAGAACTGTTCATCTCCTAGCTCCGATGGACACCCGTAAACTACGTAATCCCTTCATTTCAACCCCAGTAGTTAGTAATACTTCAGCTTTTCCGACGACGCACCCATCATGTGAGGTGCAATCCTTATATCTTGATAGTATATATCAAATTAGCAGAAGTCTAGACCTAAGTCCACAGTGGGCTTTGTTCAATGATCAGAGCACAGATGAAACGGCTAGAAAATATGGGTCACGTCACCAAGATGGCAAAATCACCATCCATCGCATGATGTTCTCCTTAAGGCTTTACTGCTTCCTCTCTCGATTTTCATTACTTATATCAAGTTGCATGGTTTAAGAAGCAAGGTGTACCTCGATTGCAAAAAAACTAAAAAAATAAAAAATGGAAGTCAACATTACTCGTGGCTCTTCAATATATATAATGCCACACACCGTACATCTACTATCAACATTAGTACTAGGATCAGATCATATTTATGTTTACCACCAGGAATTTGATACAAGATCAAGCCCGATTCTTTCATTCATCTCACTATATCCATACTCTTAAGAAAAAAGACCATATGGGCATCAAAGTATACATAACCTCCTTACTGAGGTGGGTCCTCACCACAACGTTCCTTGTGCAATTCTCCGGCAGCTAAAGGGAAACAATTAGCCCAAGTCTTCAAACAATTCGAATCTCGTGTGGGTGATTCGAAATTGGAACTGGTGAGGAGAGTATACCTGTCAAGTCATCCGGGGTACAAGAAACCTCTAAACATTTACCGAGGGTATCCTTGAACGCCTCGCTTGGGCAAGTGCATTCGAAATCAATAGAGGAGATACATCCTGCCACAACAGCGGCTTCACTGAGACAGCGATTCTGTTCACAGTACGAAAGGTGGTTAGTCTTCTGTGTCCAAATCATACACGCAGATAGGGACAGCGTACAAGGCAGGGACTGGCATCAACCGACTGATCAGCGATAGTCAATGACAGGAAAGCAGCCAGCGGGAAGAAGATAGTGAGCTTCATTTTGGGTTGATGCTGAAAGTGGGCTTAGTAGTGGTATGGTGATAGGGGTCTTGGAGTATGAAAGTGGAGGAGTTGACGAACACAGGATGGACGCCCTTGCTCGATTTATCAATAGTCGATATATTTGCGGAGCACTAGGAGAGACAATGCATTCTTTATCATATCGGTATCTCGGCGTCAACAAACCCGGTGCCTGGGTGATCTGTGGAATGATATTTCGTTGGAATGTGAGACCATCCAAGCTTGTGGTAATGTCAAGGCTACAAAGTTAGGTAATAGATTGAATACCCATTACACGGAGATAATGGAATATTGTTTTGATTTCATTGGATGTTCTAGGTTGTTACCCAAAGTGCATAGCCACCGGGCATCTCCTTTGGTTCAGTTATTTCCCGTGGGTATCTCGAAATGACAAGAGATACTGTTGGGAAACTCTAGGCAAATAACCTTGGAAGTACGGTGTAGGCTCCGACATCAAATCTGGTAGCGGGGCTAGTCGCAAGCTGTTCCAAGCAATAGAACAATGCATACACATGGAGAGCTACATTGAAACTCTGCACACAATGGTGTTCCCGTAAAATCAATTGGTTAACAATGTGGCAAATCAAGTGTGGTGTCTTAAGAGAGATAGATTTGTGTCGATCACGAAACTATCTCTCCCCGAGTGGCCAGTATGCCCGAGGAGCCACGCCACAAGAGTAATCTGGCCGAATCAAAAAACCACAATTTAGATGTGTAGTCACCTATTGGTAATAGGGTCCGTTGCATATGGCCTCCAAGAGCGGTCGCGTTGGATGCCTCTGAGTGTTGCTTGGACTTTGGCAAGAAGATCAGCCCCAAACACAGGAACTTCCTGAGTTACGTTGAAGGATTTGTAGTCTTTCTTCGAGAGGAATCCAGCAACGGATACTGCAGCTATCATAGAGCGTACCGGGTGTCCCATTGGCAATTTGGCAACCGAGAGTATGCCATCGGGGCTGACACTTGGGTCATACGCCGTGGTTTTTGGCAAGTTATTAGCGTGGAAGCAAGATAAAGAAGAAACGAAACACCATAAAGTAAACGCTGGCGATACGAGAGCTGGTAAAGTGGACAGGGGTAACAGCGTCAAGCGGGTGTTATTTAAAAAGGGAGCAACGCCAGAGAATGTCCACGGTATGTATAGTCATAGATCCATGGATGGAACCAACGCAGCCTAAGGTATGAGGTAATAAGGTGATAAGGTAAGAATATGAGAGCCTTAGCTATAAATGCACCTGTCATTTTCTCTTTTATCTCTCTCCTCTATCACTTTTCAAAAAAGAAATATGTGCTAATGCTGCTCTCGTAGGTGATTCTCTGGCGAATCAATTTCCTCAGGTGTTCAGCGATCTGGACGTCGACTTGACTGATGCCGTACATATCGGCCAGTGGTACAAATTCAACGAAAGTCGAGCCCTTGGGGCTTGGTTTTTGAATTCTGAAATTGATACCGCCAGTATACAGCCAAGTTAGGAGGAATTCAAAGCTCCGAATACCAAGAACATCGTCAAGCTCTTCCATAGTTGCAGATTGCTCTTTGGCTTCTGCAAAGCTATCACTAACTTTTTTTCTTTTCGCAAAATATGTATACCGACTCACGAGAATGGCTCTTAAAACCGTCTACTCCTTGCCGGAGGGATTAAGTCGGATCTTCACGAAAGGGCAATAATGCGATGTCAAACGTGAGGAACTAGATATACGGCAAAAGACCCGTGGATCTCTATAGAATCCTGAAGTAAAGAACCTTCGAATATAAATATTTTTATAAGTATTTTATTGGGTCTCTTGCAAGTACCTAGGTATAGCCCATTGAAGACACAGCATAGTGGTTATAGAGAGGTGAAGTATATAAATAATGCGCGATGGCCGCTATTGCCGCTATTCCGAATTAGGACCCCGAGAGAAAATCCTTGGATACCTTTGATTGGTTGACTTTGTGCACCGCCATTTGTTCCGCCTTGATGAAATGTGTACAGATGTCCAATACAATCTCCTGTCTTTTTTCCTATTATGCGCTGTTTCTTCCTTAGATCTGTACACTGGAAAATCCCAGTTCATCCCATAAAGCCCTACCAATTTACGCATTTGCGTGGTGTTCGGGATCTATATACTCCAGGTGAGTGGGGTAAATATCTAGTTTTCTGCCAGGCAGTATTAACTCGCATGGTCGATTTCCTCGTACGGCTAGTTCCAGCCCCGCATACGTCACCTTCAAAAATCCCTTTCCTCTTCACAAACACAGCTATGAAGCAGAGATTCTCGTCTTTGGACGTTAAGGTACCTTTGAATCTACCGGGAAGAAGATATCCACTAACAAGCCCAGGTCATCACGCAGGAATTGGCGTCAGAGTGTGTCAACCTCCGGGTGTCCAACATTTACGACCTGTCCTCGGTACGCCCAATCCCTTTCCTTATTGCCATCGAAGGATATCGAGCTGATTACTATTCCCATTAGCGTATATTCCTTTTCAAACTCGCTAAGCCGGACCATCGACGCCAACTCATCATTGACTCCGGTTTTCGAACCCATGTCACCCAATATTCGCGAACCGCGGCAAGCACACCATCTCCTTTTGTGACCCGTCTCCGAAAGTACCTGAAGTCTCGCCGGATTACAGGCATCTCCCAAATAGGAACCGATCGCATCATCGACTTCTCTTTCAGCGATGGCGCATACCATATCTTCCTCGAATTCTTCGCCGGTGGTAACATTATCTTGACGGACCGCGAATACAACATTCTTGCTTTCTTCCGCCAAGTTCCCGCCGGTGTGGGCCAGGAGGAGATCAAGGCCGGACTCAAATACACTGTGTCTAATAAACAGAACTATGATGGGGTTCCGGACATAACAGCGGATCGAGTTTTGCAAACACTGGAAAAGGCGCAGGGGGTTTTTGCTCAAGAGGGAAATGCGCCCAAGAAGTTTAAGAAGAAGGGAACGGATATTTTGCGAAAGGCATTGTCACAAGGCTTCCCTGAATATCCTCCCTTGCTTCTAGACCACGTCTTTGCGATCAAGGAATTTGATACTACAACACCACTGGATCAAGTCTTGGGGAGCCAAGATCTGTTGCAGGCCGTGAAAGAGGTGCTAGAAGAGTCGCAACGAATTTCCAACACCTTTAACTCTGGCGACAGCCATCCGGGCTACATTGTTGCGAAAGAAGACACGCGACCAATCCCGGAAGGAGAGACTTCATCAAAGGCCCCGGGTCTGCTGTATGAAGACTTCCACCCTTTCAAGCCTCGACAGTTTGAGAACAAACCAGGAATAAAGATTCTAGAGTTCGAGCGCTTCAATGCGACGGTCGACGAGTACTTCTCATCTCTTGAATCTCAGCGACTAGAGTCACGATTGACAGAGCGCGAGGAGGCAGCCAAGAAAAAGCTCGAATCCGTGCGATCAGAGCACAAAAAGCGGATTGATGAGCTCAAGAATGTACAAGAGCTTCACATCCGTAAAGCGGATGCTATTCAGGACAATGTCTATCGAGTCCAGGAGGCAATGGATGCAGTCAATGGACTGGTGGCCCAGGGAATGGACTGGGGTGAGATTGCACGCCTGATTGAGATGGAACAGGATCGCGGCAATCGAGTGGCGCAGACCATCAAGCTGCCCCTGAAACTGTACGAAAACACGGTCACCCTACTTCTTGGAGAGGCCGGCGACGACGAGGATGAAGAGGAGGAGTTTTCTAGCAGCGACGAATCAGACTCCGACTCGGAGAACGAAGCAGAGCAAGAGACAGGACGTGCGGAACGTGATTCTAAGCTGTTGGCCATTGACATTGACCTTGGTCTGAGCCCATGGGCGAACGCATCACAATATTACGATCAGAAGAAGCAAGCCTCGGAGAAGGAACAAAGGACAACCCAGTCGTCTACCAAGGCACTGAAGAGTCACGAGAAGAAGGTGACAACCGACCTCAAGCGAGGCCTGAAGAAAGAGAAGCAAGTGCTTCGACAGGCTCGGACACCATTTTGGTTTGAGAAGTTTATCTTTTTCATTTCTTCAGAGGGTTACTTGGTCATAGGGTATGTGGCTCCATTCAACACCAATTTCTGACATCTACTAATTCAAATAGTGCACGGGATGCCATGCAGAGCGAATTGCTCTACCGGCGTTATTTGTCCAAGGGCGATATCTTTGTGCATGCTGACCTTGAAGGTGCGACGCCAATCGTGGTGAAGAACCGAGCTGGTAGTGCAGACGCACCAATTTCTCCAAGCACACTATCTCAAGCCGGCAACCTTTGCGTCGCGACTTCAACTGCTTGGGAATCTAAGGCTGTCATGTCTGCTTGGTGGGCACATGCTCATCAAGTATCGAAAATCGCAGAAAACGGCAGCGGAATCATGCCCACAGGTGTTTTCCAAATCAAGGGAGAGAAGAACTTCTTGGCCCCATCGCAACTGGTGCTTGGATTTGGTATTATGTTCCAAGTCAGCCAGGAAAGCGCCCGGAACCATAAGCAGCGATTCGACACCTCTGACGTTCCGCAGGCTGCTATAACTTCTGTAGGTGAGACTGAGGCTTCTGAGCCGAAGGACGCCGTGGAGCCACCAGCCCCAGAGCAGACACAGGCCAGCGAAGAAACCAGCGAAGAAACCACCGCAGAAACCACCGCAGAAGCCACCGAAGACGCAGAGAAGGAAGATGCGGGATCTGAAGAGGAGGATGAAGATGATAAAGCTGCCACCAGAAACCCTCTCCAGCGAGGCAATTCCGAGCCTCTGGCCTCTCAGCCAACTCAAGAATCGGACTCTGAGTCTGAGCCAGAAGAAGAACCAAAGGATGAGCTGGAGCAAGAAGGCGCAGAAGATCAGCCAGAGGGAGAAGAAGCCACATCAACAGCAGGTCAAAATTCTGTACCCGAGCAAAATGAAGAATCGAACTTGAATGCCCGAGAGCGACGTACCTTGCGACAAGGCAAGCCTCTCGATCGTCCCGGCGAGAAAGAACCGGCTGCACCACGCATCGCCCCCACTCGTGGCAAGCGGGCGAAGGACAAGCGCGCTGCTGCCAAGTATGCTCACCAAGACGAGGATGAGCGGGAACTTGCTCTTCGCTTGGTGGGTGCCAACAAGGGCAAAGCCGCGAAGGCGGCCAAGGCAGCCGAAGCCAAGGAACAGCGCGAGCGAGAGGCCGAGGCGCAAAGGCAACGACGACGGGCCCAGCATGAGCGTGCAGCCGAAGCTGAGCGCAAACGCCAGGCCCAGTTCACGGAAAATGGAACGGATGATTACAACGAAGAGACAGCTGCCGCTGAAGCTGCAGATCTTACTTGGATTCCAGCCTTGGTGGGTACACCAACTACGGATGATGAAATCATTGCTGCTATTCCAGTCTGCGCCCCATGGGCTGCCCTTGGACGGTACAAATACAAAGTCAAGTTGCAACCAGGCTCCGTCAAAAAGGGCAAGGCTGTCAAGGAGATCATTGGCCGATGGGTATCCGAGACCACCACCGGGAAGGTCAAGAAGGAGCACGCCGAAGATATTGGGATCTCTCGTGTCGATGCCGAGCGTCTCCGCGAACGGGAAGGTGAACTCATCAAGGGATGGAAAGATACAGAGATTATCAACACTATGGTTGTGGGCAAGGTGCGCATCATGACTGCAGGAGCTGGAAGCGGTGGCGGTGGTGATAAAGGCAAGGGCAAAGGTGGAAAGGGTGGTGGTGGAGGTGGAGGTGGCAGAGGAGGTGGTAAGAGTAAGAAGAAATGATCGAGTCTTGTGTATACATTCGAGAGTACATAGATTAGAGCTTTGAATCCAATCCGGCCGATTCGATTCAATCAGGTTATACAAGATATTATTATTGGTGTTGAGCCGATGTATACCAAGCCTGGTCTCTTTATACCAGCTGATCAGCCACAGCCCCACTTCAATTGGTTCATCTACACTTAGTTCAACCTCATATAACCCTGAATAGCTCCTATTTTTCCAATTCTATTGCCAATAATATCGTTGCCGATATGACGGGGTTCCTGAGCCGCTGAGTCATCCGACGTCATGACCCGAACCGATTTTCTCACGCTCTTCCCATATAGGGCCTCTTATTGCTTCTGGCGGCATTGTGCAGAATGATAGTCGACTGTGTACGCTAGAGACGATATTAGATCCTACAGCCAAGAGAAAAGAGACTTTGCCCCGCGCAACCAGAACCCCGGCCCCTCGGGCATCATTTCGCCCCTCATCTGATAACGTGTGCGCCCGAATAGTGCGTCATTGAGGTCTTCTCAAACATCACGTTGCTTTTCACTCGCGCTTTTGCCGGCCAGTGTCAGCGCAGTTGTGCGAGATTTTTGAACACGATGCCTACACAAACGCGAGTTGTCCCCGTTCAACGGCTCAGCCAAGGGCCCGGCGATTTATCTCTGGCAGAATGGTGGGAGAAGGAGCGCAACCAAAAAACACCCGAGTCCCAGGCCATCGAAGAAGCTGCCAAACTCCTCCGGTCAAGTGACATCCCCGTCGCCTTCCCTACTGAGACAGTATATGGCCTAGGCGCCGATGCCACGCGTAGTGGTTCTGTCCAAGGAATCTACCGCGCCAAACAGCGGCCCTCAGACAACCCCTTGATCGTTCATGTCGACTCACTCGACATGCTTGAGCGTCTTCTTAATCCTACACCCGAAGGCAGCTCTAACTCAACCAAAACGCCGCAAATCGCCCTCCCCTCGATCTACAAGCCTCTAATCGACAAATTCTGGCCCGGCGCATTGACAATCATTCTACCTAACCCATCTGGATCGATACTAGCGCCAGAGGTCACCTCCAGCCTGACCACATTCGGCGTCCGCATGCCCTCTTCTCCACTCGCGCGTCTACTCATCCACGCAACAGACCGTCCCCTCGCCGCGCCATCGGCCAACGCATCCACCAAACCATCCCCCACAACCGCGCAGCACGTATACCATGATCTCAAAGACCGCATCGAGATGATTCTCGACGGCGGCGCATCCGGCGTTGGCGTGGAAAGCACCGTGGTCGACGGGTTATGCGATCCACCAGCGATTCTGCGCCCCGGCGGCATTGGCATCGACGAAATCCGGAAATGTGAAGGATGGGAAAATGTCGCAGTCGGCTACAAAGACGGTACGCTAGATGTTAAGGAAGTCCCGCGCGCACCGGGAATGAAGTACCGCCACTATTCGCCAAAGGCACGGGTTGTTCTCTTCGAGTCGACATCGAACCCGGCCGGAGTGAGGAAGCATGTCCAGAAGGACTTGAATGATACTGCCATTGGCGCACACAAAATTGGTATCGTTCGCACGCAGAACTGGAAACTTGGCTTGGAGCTCGCTTCGGAAGATCAAATCGCCAATACCATGAGTCCTGTGTCTTCTCCCATTGAGAATATTGTCGGCTTCCCGATACCTGTGCTAGAGAATGGAAGCACGAGTAGCCGCACGAAGATGGCATATGATTATCATCTTGGCTCAGATGCGGTTTCTATCGCGCATGGTCTCTTTGCCGCCCTACGCGCGCTGGACGAGCTTGATGTCGATGTTATCTACGTGGAAGGTGTGTCTGATAGCGAAGGTGACCTGGCTGCGGCTGTCATGAACCGACTACGAAAGGCTGCTGGTGCTGAAATGCGGGTTTAGCCTTGACAATCGGGTGTGATTACGTATATACATTCTCTTTTATTCCAAGTCCGGGGGTTTTTCGGTGGTTTATATAGACGTTTAAAAGTGTCAATATTAGATTTAAAACATATTTTAGCATACAATATTGTGTGTGGTCGACATTTTATGTGCACGGAGTGGATGGAGGAGTTGTGATTGGAGTCTCCTGGACTTACCCGTTTAGTAAATCCTGTTGATCATCATTTCGACACGGAATTCGGAGACCTCCGGGGAAAAAAGCTTATCGCTGAGTCTAATTTTGGGATGAAAAAGGTGATAAAAGCAGTTGTGTCACGAAAAGAAGAGTCACGATAACCCCCGAGTCACCGGCGGGGGAAAATGGAAACTCGTCCGGTCCTTATCCCGCATTGATATAGAACATTGAAAATTCTTACCTCCAAAAAAAAAAGTTCCTCACTACAACCCGCAAAAATGTGTCAATCTCCTCTGCACGAGTTCCTCGAGGGCCTCCCTAAATGTGAACACCACGTCCATCTCGAGGGCACCCTTGAGCCAGAACTCATCTTCGAGCTCGCGGCGCGCAATGGTATCACCTTGCCGACCGACCTAGTCTATACCTCAGTCGAGACACTCAAGAAACGCTATGAGCACTTCAGCAACCTGGACGACTTCCTCCACTTCTACTTCGAAGGCATGGCTGTCCTCCGCAAGGAAGAAGACTTCGCCGACCTAGCCTGGGCATACTTCCAAAAGGCGCATGCCGACGGCGTTCACCACGCCGAAGTCTTCTTCGACCCGCAAGTCCACGAAAGCCGCGGTGTCCCATACGACACGATCGTCACGGGCTTCTCGAAGGGCTGCAAGCGCGCCGAGTCCGAGCTCGGCTTGAGTACACGACTAATCCTGTGTTTCGTGCGACACCTCCCTGTCGCATCGGCCAAGGAAGTTTACGAGGAGCTCGTGGCTCACAAGCACTTCGAGTCTGGCGTTGTGCACGGACTCGGTTGGTCTTCTTCAGAAGTCGGTCCGCCGAAGGACATGTTCCGTGAGATCTATGCGTCAGCCGCGCAGAAGAATATCCCGCTCACGGCGCATGCCGGCGAGGAAGGTGATCCGACTTATATCAGCACTGCTCTTGAGCTCGGTGCCCGGCGTATCGATCATGGTATTCGTCTGGTCGAAGATGAGGAGTTGATGAAGCGTGTTGCGCGTGAGAGTATCCTGCTTACCGTTTGTCCGTTGTCAAATGTGCGGTTGCGCTGTGTTACCTCTGTGAAGGAGGTGCCTATTCGGTGGTTCTTGGAGGCTGGGGTCAAGTTCTCGATTAACAGTGATGATCCTGCTTATTTCGGTGGTTATATTCTTGACAACTACTGCGCTGTGCAGGAGGCTTTTAACCTGAATGTGTTCGAGTGGAGGATCATTGCGGAAAATAGTGTCCAGGAGAGCTGGATTGATGATTCGCGCAAGGCTGAGATTCTGGCGAGTATTGAGGAGCATGTCAGCAAGTATACACGTATGCACACTATTGCTGTGTAGATTCTGATTGTTGGTGTATGCATTGGTTTCTGTTGGAGTTGTTGGCTGTGGTGGGCGTGAGCGGTGCATCTGATACCCTGTGTTTCAACATTTTTTGTATACTATTTTTCAACTCAAGTATATACCAGGAACATAACAAGTTAAAATTTTTAAAGCTCCTAGAACAACCAAGCAATCATTTCATCCATTTATACTCGTATGCTCGAGTATACTCATTCGGGTCCCAAACAAGAGGTCTCGTATCCATTTCTTCAAACTTCAGCTTTACACATTTATCTATGTACTCCTTTTCTTCGGATGTCAAGAGATGCAGCCTCTTCTTCCAGGTATTTTCAGGATCAAAGCTTTGAGTCCGTCCAAAGAATAACCGGCCATGCCAATAGATCGAGTCGAATGCAAAATTATTCCGAGCGGCATACATGACCCAGAAGTTGCCACTCTTCCAACTGTCTCGTATTGGGCCCAAGAGACGCTGAGTCTCCATAAGTTGACCGGCACGGATTGCCTCATCCTCGCAATCGTTCATCATATTGTATGCACCGGTTGTGGAAGCCTTTCAGCCAATATCCCGGCCTTTCGAGCAGAAGTCACCAAGGCGGTGCATGGGAAGACTCGACAGGGGTAGTGTATGTATGTAAACTCCCAGTCCACTACTCCGATAATGTTCTCAGCTCTATCAACGAGAACATTCTCTGGTCGAAAGTCATCGCACCAGATTGGAAATTGGCCAGTCTCATGGTGCAACCGTTTCTCTCTCGACTTCTGGCCTTTCCCAGTCTTCGTGGCGGTATTTAACATAGACACATCAGCTGCAGAACAGAGATAATCTCGATCTCCTTGAGCACATTTAATACCTTTTATTGATAACAAAGGAAGTATGAAGTCGGAAGCTCCTTTATCAGAAAGCCCATCACATGTCATCTCCACGCCCCTGAAGACCCGGCATTTAGGGACTTGGTATATTTTATAGATAGAAATACATAGTAGATTAAAGACCTAATTCGACTTGAACCATTTTTTTAAAAAAAAAATGTTGTTATAGAAACATAGTGAGGAGTTAGATGGTACTTTTGTGAGCGATTGTTAGTGAATATAGGGAGTTTTAACAAACTTTTGACCTCCCATATAGTTTGTACTATCCACAGTAATATTAGGGCATCTATTCAACTTTCTTAGGGCAGTCCCTGTTTCCTGATGAATCATTCACTCCAGTAGTTTGTATCACATAAGACCTGCTTGCGGGGCACTTTCACCTTTTTTGTTTTATTCACTTCCGATACGGAGTAGCGCCGTGGTGTTTGCTCAAATATATGTCAAGTTCGCTGAATCTTCATCTGGTCATCTAACGGGCCGGTAGCTGGAATACTCTACTCTGAAAAGAATGCGCAGACCTTTGCTATACGTCATGTATCGTCTACACAGGGACAGGGGTCATCGAATGTATTCTAAATGCATAGGCTTAGCCGAAGAATGACGAAGGAGTGTGTGATGAATCGGATGGAGCAGATCCCATGGCAAGAAAGTTTTATATGGAGTAGAATGTAACGAATTGGGGGCGCGAATCTGAAAAATTTGTGGGTCCCCTAGAGTTCCAAGGTTTCACAGATCTGGCTCGGCACGATCCACCCGCCCATCCTGTGCAACGTTGTTGATGAATACGGGAATTGGCCTAATGCTGATATTTTACCAAACCATACGGAGTACTACTGATCAAATGACTAAGGATTCTACACGTGAAAACACTCATTTCTTGGCATTATATGGGCTTGCATAGTTTATGCTTTCTGTCACATGCCCTTTGGGTGATGTTGTATTGAACCGGATGGTACCATTAAGCAATCCCCGCGTCACCAAAACCATTTATTCAGTATCAATGCCATGGGTAACATTTTTCTTAGAAAGTTTCGCTTTAAGAAAATATTTAGCATATAAAAGTATGTGTATGCATGTACATATGTGGTATAAAGTGCAAGGACATTACAGGAGGACATATCTCAGGCGAGTACAATTTGGAGGAATGTACTATGGTAACAACAGCTAATAGCCCCTAGCTTTGTATTCAGCAAGCACCTTTTTGTGTTGGAACCAATATTAAGTAACGTAATGCAATGCATATGTGTAGTCTTCTTTTGCTAGGTGAAATGAAGAAAGATCAACGGAGGACTAGAGCCATGGAAGTATAAATATGAGCTCATGGCCACCTCTCGCTCTATATATCAGGCTCTCAGAATACCAATCTCAATCAATTCATCCTTTGCATCGCTCTAATTTCTCATTCAAGCTTCTCTTTCTCCATCATGTTTATCAAGCCCGCCCTCCAAGCACTGCTTGCCCTTTCGATCGCTGTCGGAGCAGTCGCCGACCAAGAGGTTGTGAACTCCCCTGCGAGTGGCCCTCTATCCATCAACTATGGCAAATGCTACAAAATCCAAACCGAGCAGCGCACATGGATGGCCAACAGAGGCGATGGATATCAGCGGTGGGACTACCTTCTGAAGAAAGCCGACATCTACAAGGTCTGCCAGCACAAAGTCGACGGATCCTGCGAGTACGATGCCGTTCGCCCGGTCCAGGGTGGGGAGGACTACTTCCTCTGGGCTTTCAATGCCTACAATGGCCAGGGAGCGAATCTTCTAGCTGTCTGGAATTGGTTCTTCCCTAGCTATGACGGCTATAGAGATTACATCTTCCACTTCCAAGGTGAAGCAGAGTGTGGCCATGGTACCAACCCTTGCGCTATCCGCACTGGTGGTCATAACGAGAAAACTGCCAAAGGTTTGACTGGAGTCGACTTCCCTGCCAGAGCCACTGACGGGAGCACAGTTTTGCTCTGGTACCATGAAGTCGATTGCCCTGAGTAAAGGATAGGGAGCTACAACTATGGCTTGAATCATCGACATACTCGGGGTATGTGGTGGTTCCAGGAAGAACCGATATGCAAGCAAGGCAGGGTATATTTGTGAGGGAAGATGGACGTTTTAATATCATGTCCGGCTAGGTCTGTGGAAGAAATTGCAAAATGGGTGACCTTTGATATCAGTCCTATATAGATAGTCAGAATAACAATAAAAACTCATTTGCATTTGACTCAGAATGTGGAACAAGACATTTTTAAATATCTGACGTCTAATCAACCAACTTGAGCCAAGTGCTTCATTTATATTAAGCTCTTTTTATTGAATCAGAAGGAATGTGGTTTTTGGAAAGAACAGTATTCCTGACTGGTGTCTAATGATGGAAAATAATCAGGAGTTGAGGGCAGCTGATTAGAGATAAAATCAGGGATTGTACGAGTAAATCTTCAGTACACCACCCTATACAATGTACTTAATTCAGCTATTTTAATTCTTCTGCCGGCCTTAAATCAGTCCACCAAGCTAGAATTAGCCACCAAGGCATCATCAGCATTTACCGGAAATAGGAGTTTGGCAGTTGGCGACTATACCGCTGCGTAGATGCGCGAGTTTTATACCTCCCCAGCGCGCCAAGACCCAAATTCCAAGCTCAGGCCAGTCATGTTGACAGGGGATAAAAGTTAGGGAGACAGAGTTTTTACACAGGTTAGAGGCAGCTCAGGTGGACAGGAGTATAAGGGTCTCGAAATTCACTACTTCGTACTCCCCAGGCCCTTATGTATTTGAGAGGTTAGCTATTTGGGCTAGTGGAAGATATAAAAAGTCGTTGAATTCTGCATCTCTCCTCATTAGTTGAACGTCTAAATTGGTACAAGTGTGATGATTATCTAGAGTGCGGAAGTGCTAATTATTTATACTAAAAATTCGAAGTGCGAGAGATGCGAGAACAGTTTATATAAAACGCAAACAGCCAACGCGCAGGGTATTAGCCATGAAGCTACTGAGCTCTTATGGGTGCCCAGATCACAGCTCCACATTAATATTTTGATCGGATGGCAAAGCTTATGTTCCACATTCTGTCGATCAATGCATTTCATCGTAAGATCATTTCTTTTGGAGAAATCGTATACGTAAAGATTTTCCTAGCATTCTGCGAGGAAGATCTAGCGAATGGTATTTGATCTACAGAAGAAAAAAATTCAGCTCATGCAGTATTCAAGAGATTTACAAGGAGAGCCTACGGTGTGAGTATAGGATCCAGTTTATTCAGCTGAGCCCCTCGGGCGGGAAAAACACTACACACACCCCCTCGGCAAGGGAGCATAGACCGCGTGGAATTTCGAATTTAGAGCAACGAAAATTATTGCTGTGCTGTCTTGCCTCCCTCCCCCTACATGTATATCAATGCAAAGTGACGTATGGAGTAGAATGCCACCCTTGCCATGCACTGTATGGCCCAGACGGTCGATCAAAAATATAAGATTAGACACGTAAACTCTTTCCGAGATTCTAGTTTAAATACAAGTAACAGTGTAGGATTTAAGACGAAGAACTAGGATAAGTACATGAATGAGTGTCGTTGGATGTTCTTCGTACGTAGCCTAGTTTAGCGTCTACAGGATTCTTCATATTCCCCTCTGTTTCGGTGCTATTTCACCCTCTCATTCTCGCTAATCCTGTTGTCTATTGGGTTACTTGAATTTCACGTCAATAAACTCGCCTCTTTTACTTATATCCCAACGTTGACATACTCTTATACATCCGCAGTGTCGAAGTTGCGAATGAAGTCATAGTAGAATCTAACGGCGCTCAAGTGGTCAAAGATACTCACACGTTCATTGACAGTGTGAATATTGTCCAGGCCCCGGCTGATCGATGGGGTCCACCTAAATACACTGCGGGAAAGGCCTGATAATACAGTCAGTACGTGATATATGCGCTAAATAATAGTAAGACTTACTGAGGTAATGCCGAGTGTCGGTATTACCAGTCATGACATCTCCTACTGGCACGACAGTCTTGTCGTCTGTTGCAAAAGTGTGTTGAATTGTTCCCGAAAAAACATCCCAAACAGGACCGCTAACAGGAGACACCGGTGCGGCTCCAGCCTTTGTGGCTCTGATGACAAGAGTACCGTTGTAGTCGACTTCATCATGGCGCTGTAGATCACTGTGATGTAGTATATCGCTGGGATAAAGCTCTGCGACATAATCCTGATATTCTTTGTCGCCTTTGAATGCATCCACCTGAAGACCATACTTCTCAACTACGTTTGAAATCACTTGAATAGCCTTGTGCTGAACCTGCACGGGCCTCTCATGGTGTGCAACGCGATAGTTGACAGCAAGGGTAACGACCTCGGGCATGGCATTGATTTTCACCCCGCCCTTGATGAGATCAATAGCCTGTGAGGTTTGAACAACGAACCGGTTCAATGAGCTAGTGCTGGCGAATTCAGCGGCAAGTGCATCAAAATCATTCTTTCGTAGTAGTTCTTCGACCTTAGGCTGGGTGTTGGGAGAGTATCGCGCTTGACAAATCAGGCGTTTGTGAATCGGACTGTCCTTGATAATTTTGGGCTGGTACGGATTGGCCTCAAGCGCAACAACAATCTCGGAAATGATACCGATTCCCGTGTGCGGTAGGGGAACGGAACTGTGACCACCCTTGCTATGAAGCTCGAAGAAGAGATTGGAATGGCCCTTCTCAGTGATTGCAGGGTGGACATATATGGTATTGTTATCAAGAGGCTTTGAGCCGAAACCACCCTCGTCAAGGATAATAGCAAAGCTATCGTCACCATATCTCTTCTTGAGTATCTTGCTGATTTGGGCAGCGCCTTGGTTGAGACCAACTTCCTCATCAAATCCGAATGCCAAGATGAGAGTTCGCCTAGGCTTCCAATCAGACTCAGACAGAAGACCTTCTATGGCGGAGAGGATGGCTGTAAGACTGTTCTTATCGTCGGATGCACCGCGGCCCCAGATATATTCGCCGTCAAAATGAGCCTCGAAAGGTGGATAAGTCCATGTGGATTCATCAGCAACGGGAACCACGTCCTGATGGGCAGTAAGAAGGGTTGGCTTTAGAGTTTGATCCAAGCCTTCAAATGTGTAAAGCAGCCCGAATGTATTGATTTTCTCTAGCTTTGCACGCTTGTGACTTGAGGTGATCAGCTGCGAGGACGATTTCCCGGGTAGACTTCTAGCTTACACTGTAGGATATGACTTTTGGAGCACAGGAAAAAGCTTGTAAAACGGAAGCCATCGCTCATCCTCGCCAATTTCGCCTAAATCGTCGTAGGAGACCGACGGAACCTGCACAATGGCCTGATGACGTTTTACCTGTCGTTCCAACGCCCCATCTGAAGAAAACAAGCTCACTGCTGACGGTAGCCCATCACTGGCAGGATCAAGAATAGGGGGTAGATCACATATGAAATCAGAACCCAGATTTCCAACTGTCATCGGAGTTTGACCAAGAGAGGGCAGCACGAAGGCCGAAGCACTAACAATACCATTTGCCAGGGCCAATAAGCGTAAAGACCCCATGTTTCTGGGTAGAGTTTGGAGGTCAACCCTCTTCCACGATTTAAATTGATAAATATTGGAAAATGAAGAAAGAATAAAAAGACTTTAACAAGAATGGCACTCTTAAAGCGGGAAATCCTGAGAAATCCTGGGAAATGATGATGGGCAATCATTCAGATACTAAAGCAGTCAAATATTTACGATGTAGTTTATTAAGTTAAGACTTGATGATGAAATACCACCAAGAGTTTACGACATGCATGGATTGCATACTAAGTTCGGTTACAATTTCAAGGTAATCCTACTCTCACTTGAAGCACAAAGTACATAGATAGCAGCTAATATCCCCCAGCCATGGCGTCATCATATGTGGTTTCAACTATAATTCGCTTTGACATCTTGGCGTTTCTTTCTTGTTTGAACTGAACATCATGTTCTAACTTATGTTAGGAAAATGAGACCTTATCTTGCGGATCGGGCAGGGCAGAAATAAATGATAACGAGCTTAAAGTCTGGCAAACTGGCAACTCATAAATCCTATGCCATTACGATTGAGGCCTGGGATAATAAGTGGAGAGTGAAGCTAGTAGTTACCTTTCTTTAACAAGCTCTCTCAAGGCCGAACTCGGCTTCCCCTCATTGCACCTTTCACCCCATTCTTGTGCCATACCCACCACCCACAATAAGAAGGACAGCGATAGGTAAAGACCGATGGACAAAGATTTCCCAAGGCAAGGTAAGCATAAAACTCTCCAAACTTAGATTAGAAGCGTTTAGACCAATATCGGGGTCTGCCGCTTTTTGCCCTAAATATCAATTTGCCGTTGTGAAATCCCGAACCCCGTCTAGCATAGTCAAAATATTGCCTGTATTTGTCCCTAGCCTACAAAATGCTCCGCATTCATTGCGGATAGTTTAAAAATGTCCGTTGTAGCGCACCTTTCCTGTTTAAGGAACCACTAGAAAAAATGGATGGGCTTTACCTAGTTAGAGGACTATGTTATATCCCGAGTGGAGGATTTCCTATCTAGGATCCTCTTTCACGCAGTGCTGTTATCATCTGGGCCAAGCATTGCACGATTCCTATCTATCATCACAGAAGTCCCGGGAGATACCCGTCTGAGCACAACTTAAGTAGGAAACGATTGACCTCAACAGCTGCATCCCTTCAGACAGCAATCCTCGCACCAACATGGCAAAAGGACAAGAACCACAGGAGCTCCCTACTGAGAGCGTTCAGCCCCTAGATGTCAAGAATACTGCCTCAATTGATAAAAAGGAAGTTGACTCTTTCGACGAGTCACAATATGACTTTGACTCCGCTGAATTCAAGGACATACCCGAGCTGGTGCGGACGGTCGTTGGCTTTGAGGATGACCCATCACTTCCAGTCTTGACATTCCGTTCAATTCTTCTATCAGCAGTATTTTGCACAATTGGTAGTATAGTCTCTCAATTATCCTAGTGAGTTTTGCTGGCGCAAAATTGGCAGCAGACGCTTTAGCTCACAGCATACTAGCTTTCGAACAACATACGCTCCATTTCCAGTATTCTTTGTGATTCTAGCTTCTGATCCCCTCGGTCGATTCATGGCACGTGTTCTGCCTGCCTATAGGGTACCCTTGGGGAGATTTTCATTCTCCTTAAACCCGGGCCCTTGGTCGACCAAGGAGCATGCAATTGTTGGCATTGCCGCCAATGCTGGAAGTCAGGGTCAATGGGCCAGTAAGAAATCTAAATCTCTCTTGATATGCCAACATTACTAACCTGAAAAGCCTTTTTGCCGACAAACGCTGCCTTATACTACAATATCACTATGAACCCGGCAGTTGCCTTGTTTTTTGGATGGGTAGGTTCGAACCTTAACGGACTAAAATAACATGCTAATTCCAAAGCAGGGTTGTTCCTTGCTTGGTTTTGCATTTGCTGCAATGGGTAGGTGCTTTTCATAGTATCTGGTACTGAATGAAAATTAACCTATCTAGTTCGCGGAGTCCTGATTGATGATCCCGAATTCATATTTCCTCTATCGTTGCAACAAGTGACCTTATACCGAAGCATGGATGCCAAAAATAGACCTGACCAGACAAGAGCGCGGGAGCAGGTAAAGGTGTGTATTTGCCTCATCTATGCTCACATTTCCTCTGAAACAGCTAACTGAATTTTGTCATTAGGTATTTTGGATCCTACTCCTGGCTACATTTGTTTGGCAGTTCCTACCAGAATACCTCTTTCCCTTTGTAGCATCTCTGGCTCCCCTTTGCTGGTTTGCTAGTCGCAATCATACTGTCAACTTTATCGGAGCTGGGCGCGGTGGTATGGGGTTGCTAAACATAACCCTTGATTGGTCCAACATCACTTCGGTGGTTGTCACGTATCCCTACAGCGTACAGGTGATTATCTTTTTGACATTTGTCTTAACGGTAAGTTTATATAATATCCCGTGTCAAAAGGTTATCTTCTCATCTGTTCCAGTGTTGGATCCTGATTCCTATTGCCTATTTCGGGAACCTTTGGGGATCGCCTACTTATAACATCATGTCTAACGGGGTATTCATGAAGAATGGAACAACCTATCCGTTCAATGATCTAAGTGGGTATCTATCTTTCTATGAAACTTTGGAGCCCATACTAATCATTTTCAAGTTTATCTTGATTCTAACGGTATGCAACACATTAACGAGACGAAATACGATGAAGTGGGCCTTGCCTACTCGGGGGCTCAGTATACGTGGCAGATGTTCATGGTAAGCAAATTTCACATTGCTGCATCCATTTTTTTTTACTGACATTCTCGCAGTGGGTGGCCTCGTATATGTCGTCCTTTGCTTGGTGTGGTCTGTTTCTAGGCCCAAAGATATACCGAATGTGGAAAGCCAGAAACCAATCAGGAGCCTACCATCAGGATAGACTGAGGTATATATGCATGGTGCCCATTTCGTATCGGAATACTGTAATTGACGAGTTTTAGTCGTATCATCCACCGGTATCCCAGCATCACGAAGTGGTAAGATCCTCCCGTTCTTTGTTACGATTTTAACTGAAAAGGAATGACAGGGAATGGGTTCCGCTTACTCTGGTACCAACCCTAATGCTTCTTGGTGTCGTTGTTTCCAAGACGATTTACATGCCTATCTGGACATACTTCGTGGCATTGGGTTTCGGTGCAGTATCAATGTTACCGATGAGCTTCGTATATGCTATATCGGGCTTCTCCATAAAGGTCGGCTACTTCAACGAGCTTATTTACGGATGTAAGTTAATGCGGGCCTACTTTCCATTGCTACTTCCAACTGACTGCTTCACTTCGACAGATATGATTGATGTGAAGGGTTCATCACGGCATCCTTTGGGCCAACTTGCTTATCGAATTATCTCCGGAAATGTGTGGTACGATGCTCGTATAGTTCTAGAGGATCAGAAGGTTTGATTATTTACCATGCCATTCATTGGTAATAGAAGACTGATTATTATTGATTCTAGATTGGGCATTACCTTCACCTACCTCCGCGACAAGTCATTGGAATCCAAGTTATTGCCAACATGCTTGCACTACCCATAAACTATGGAGTTATGCGCTGGGTCATCGCCACCAAATTCGACTATGTCAGCGGCAAGAAGAAAGACCCCCTCGGTCAGTGGACGGGTCAAGATTTCCAGTCGTACAACACAGCCGGCATCCAGTATGCTCTCGTTGGCCCTCGTAAGCTCTTCGCTTCGGACTTCTTCAGACCCATCCTCTGGGGTTTCCTTGCAGGCGCACTTGCCCCCTTTGTGATATGGTTATTGCACAAGAAATTCCCTCGCGCTCGTTTCGATCTGTGGAATACGACTATATTCTTCGCATCGGCAGCAGTTTTCTATGGTAACCTCAGTACCGGGCCATTTACAACCTTTCTCGTCGGCACCTTTACCAACTTCTTTCTCTATCGTTATAGGAGAGTTTTCTGGAATAAGTGGGCTTATATCAGTGGTGCAGCATTGGACACTGGGTTCAACGCGAATCTATTGTTTATCTTCATCTTTTTGGGGACAACCGGTGCCAAGATGGTTCATTGGTGGGGTAACAATGCTGATAGTGTTGAGAGATGCTTTGCCTTGAATTGATAGGGTTACAGAACTAAGAGCATATCTGTCTAGTGGACAATGGTATTCTTTATTTAGAGCTTTATATAGGGACGCATTTATGGGCAAGTCTACTGTCTCAAAGTGGGCGTGACCGTATGCACTTAAAAGGACATCTAAAAAGACCACCAAAGAGACATCACAAAGCCGCATAAGCGGCCGACTATTCTTGTTAGCATAGGAGGCACTGTACAATGAGGGTTATGTCCCGCGTCCCACACTTAGTAGGCCGTGATTATCCCAGCCCTTATCATCTACCGTGGGATTAGTATAGTTGATATCACTGATGCCTTGTAAATCAGGCCTCATTTGGACTGCCTAGGCGACTCCTCACTATATGCACTTGGTGTCTGACAGTCAGCCCTGCTGCACAACACAGTATTTGATGCCCCGAAACATTCTCTGTGGTACCCGGAGCCTTACGAGGTCGACTTTCCTGCCCCGACTACGATCCCAGGCACCCTATGCCCTGCGTCTAGCATCGTGTTTCGCAGCAATCAACCCAAGAACAAACCCCCAGCAAAGCGCAGGGCTACTTCGTATCTCCGAACAAAGTCGCAGACAGAGCTACATCCACTCAAAGCACAAAATGTCCACCTCCATTCCAGACCGCTACAAGCTCATCTTCTTCGTCCCGACCGCCAACGTGGAACCCTGTAAAGAAGCCATCTTCGCCACAGGTGCGGGGTCATTCCCAGGTGGTAAATATACCAAATGCTGTTTCCAGACTGTTGGCACGGGCCAATTTCTGCCCAACGAGGGCGCAGACCCGGCGGTCGGAGCTGTCGGAGCTTTGGAACGGTGCGAGGAGGTCAGGGTTGAGATTATGTGCCTTGGCCGAGGCATTATGCTGAATGCAGTCGATGCTTTGATCTCGGCTCATCCGTATGAGGAGGTTGCTTATGAGGTTTATAAGATGGAGAACGTTTAGTTAGTCGATTAGTCGACTGAGGGTGTGGTTGATGGGATGCGGCACAATAAGGTGATGCGATTGGGACGGTAGTGATCTTTTTCTGCATTTGTCAGTTTTCCAATCTATATTTCGACGAATTTCCAGTCTCGATAAAACAAATTGAGAGTATGATTGTGTCCAAAAATGAGTGTTGTGTTAATTTCATTGACGGGCAACTGTATGGCAGCGGATTGGTAAGGCGGTAGTAATCCCTGGATGCTGATTTGTCCAGGGCCAACCCCGAGTAAAACGCCTCGTCAACTTGACTTCTCCTCCAACCTCCAACCTCATCTCCCCCCAATTGACCTTCACTCATTGCCCGTGATGGCCTCTAAACTCTTCTCAGTCCCGCGGGTCGGCCGCCAGTTGGTTCACCAGCTCCCTAAACCCCAATACAGAGCCTTCTCCGCCGGTTCGCAACGGTTCAGCGACTCCCTTTCGGTGGTGCGTATTCCTTTCAACCCCTCCTGTGCTTTAAGCGCCAATTACGTCTCGGGATTGAAGAATTAGAGATCCATATACTGACTGTGATTGTCTCCAATAGCACCGCAACAAGCCCAACAACAACCCGACCCTCCCGTTCAAGTTTTCCGAGCAGAACCTCACACTCGCCGATGAGATCCTCAAGCGCTACCCTCCCCAGTACAAGAAGGCTGCTGTCATGCCTCTGCTCGACCTCGGTCAGCGCCAGCACGGTTTCACCAGCATCAGCGTCATGAATGAGGTCGCTCGCATGCTCGAGATGCCCCCAATGCGCGTTTACGAGGTTGCGACCTTCTACACCATGTACAACCGCGAGCCAGTTGGCAAGTACTTCGTGCAGCTCTGCACCACGGTAAGCACCTGGAATCAAACCTATTTCCTGCTCTTCCTAATCCGGAATCATCCAGACCCCATGCCAGCTCGGCGGCTGCGGTAGTACCGCCATTGTCAAGGCCATTACCGAACACCTCGGAATCACCCCCGGCCACACTACCGAGGATGGCCTCTTCACATTCATCGAAGTCGAATGCCTGGGCGCTTGTGTCAACGCCCCCATGGTCCAGATTAACGATGACTACTACGAGGACCTGACCCCGGAGTCCATCAAGACCCTCCTGACTGCCCTCAAGGACTCCGCCATCGCTACCGGTGCCGGTGCCGGCACCAAGATTCCCGCCCCCGGCCCGCTGAGCGGGCGCGATACCTGCGAGAACAGCGCCGGCCTGACCAACCTAACCGAGGTAGTGTGGAACCCGGAGACTATGATGCGCCAGGACAATGCATTGGACGCCGCACCCAAGCAATAGAAGAGCCAAGCGAAAGAAAGATTATTAAAAAGAGCTCTTCATCGCCGTGGGGTCAATTCCGGATTGGGAGGATATTATAATGGTTGTGTTTTTTTTCGAATGGACGAGCAAAAGCCGCCTTGGGGCACTGCGGTCAAGCTGGGAAATGATTAGAGGCCACCGCGCCCTTCGCCCTAAGGCGCCTTGAATGATAACCACTCTTGAGGCGTCCTATGTTTTTTGTCTGTCTACAACATACCATGTACAGTACGTTTGTTCCTAGCTCTTACTTGGTGTGATCGGAGCCCGGATGCAGATCTGGCCCAGTCGCTGTGGGATATCAGCAGGACCAATCGCAGATTTTTTTTTCCATTTCCTCCTTTTCTTATACTAGGTGTTGAGATTTTAGATACATGGGTACACTATGCAGGGTAGTACTCGTTTCTACTGGTTGTAGGGGGGAAACCTATTGCATTCCATGGTATGAAATATCCACTTCGTCATTCTTTACTGACTAGCTGAGTTAGGGCTGTCTGCCTAAGCTCTGCGCTATTCGTGTTTACTTAGCTCCCCAGCTGATTCATGCAAATGCTTCACAGCAAATGCTCCATCCCACGTTAACCCAGGTCGCCATATAGGTAACCCTAATCCTGGGGCCCTGGAGCACCCGGTTGATTACATAAGATATTTAACCGCGCAAAAGACCATAACAATCATTGTCGGTGCAGCGGTATATGTATGTCAGGCCCTAGGATTCTTTAGGGACCACACGGATCTCAACCTTTACCCACTGGGTCGAAACTGGTCCCGGGTTTCAACACGAGTACAAACCAAAGTTCCATTGTTTCTTCTGCATATAAGCGTTGTTTGAAAATGTCCAATAGTGGGTGTAGGTATGTACCAAAATAAACCACTTCGCCCTGCTACTCCACTAGATAAAAGCAAGATCTCCATCCAGTACGAGAAATAGAAAAGCAGCAACAAGAGCCCTTATATACCATGTCGAAAGGCTTCATGTTCAGCTTCTTTCGGCAGTTACGAAAATCCTAGTATAGATGTTACGGTATACAAAGTGTGTCCATAGAGAGATTGAGCTGAAATGTGATCAATAGATCTTGTACGTTGTGACGAAATTAAAGAGAGCTGACCACTAAAGATAACAAAATGCAATCTCGACTCTATTCTTGAGTTCGCCTTAACAAGTGTTCTTTGACACAATTGTTCTCCTCTGAGGAATCCGCTTAGTTGGTGACAGCGCAGTTGAGGAAAGCGGCTTAGCAACAACGTTAGTGATATACCATTTCCGTGTAAACGATGGAGAAACTTACACTTGGAGAAGAAAGCATAGCTCTCAGCATTCTCAAGAGCGGCAGAAGAGGTCAGACCGTGCACTGCCTCGTAGCCATAAGTCTCAGGACCGAAGATACCCTTGGTATGAGCCATCTCGTGCAAGGTAGAGGTAGCCTGGTCCAGAACATCGCAGCCGTCCGACGTGGCAGGGAACTTGGTAAAGTACGCAGGGCAAGTCCGGATTCTTCCGTAAGTTCCATCGGTCTCGCCGTAGGCAGTCATGGTGAAAGAGTGGGTGTCAATGCATTTGATGCCATCCGGGGTGCAGTAGTAGCTCACGACACCCTGATTTCCGTCCGTGGCCTCCGTGGCGATCGTGTCCAAGACACGAGCGACACGGTTGCGAGCCTGGGTATCGCTGGTCTTGAAGAAGCTCTGGAAGAGGTTGTTGGAGTACTCTGACTCGCTGCGGATGAGTTTGGCACCGGCTTGGGCCATCTTTGCGGCGCGGGCGAGTGCGCTGTCAATCATTTGTGCTCTCTCATCAGAGCAGTTTTCAAGGGTAGCGCGTGTCTCAAGAGGGCTGGCGACAGCGCCTGCGATGAGAGGGAGCGCGACAAGGGTTTGGAAGAAACGCATGTTGATGATTAGGATGAAAAGAGATTTGGTAATGGAAACAAAAGTCTGTTTATGGTGAACGATTGACTAAGAAGTGAAGATTGACGGCCACCAGGGCTTGCTTATAACGAGAGTATAGGAGGCAGAAAGAAAGACTTGTGTTTAGGAGAAGACGATCCGCCGACAGGGCGGGCCGTACATCGACCTTTTATACAGTATATCAACTTAAAATGGCCACAGACATAGCTCTAGCCGTTTCATTATGTTTCGTTAATCTTTCTATATATTTTCGCCCCATGTTTCACCGTCGGAGTGCCGATCGTGTCAATAGATATTGTGAGAAGACACATCAATGCTATGATTGAGCCGTGCCTGCTACCAAGCACTTATGCTGTATATAGAACGATTTATGGCAACTTCTAGCACGAACATTGCCGTTCATACACAAAATCAAAGCATCTGAGATGCCTATAGCCTTGTGGTATAGTTTCACTTCTGTATTCTGTAGTCACCCCACATCACCCGTGTTGCATCTTCTCCGTTGCAACCCACAAGATAGCCAAGACTCCCCTGTCTCAAGAGCCTTACCCCACCACACCACCGATCTCACGCCGTGACAGTCAGCCCTAGATTAGAATGAACCCTTCCTAATCTCGTATACTAAAAGGTAACAATATGCATTTACAACCGTGAGACAAGGAACTACATAGTTCATCTGCGCAGGATGTGGAATGTCTGCCAGGATTAGAAAAACATCCAGCATCCGAGCTCTCTTAGGCAAGTGGTTCAAAGGCAGCAGCTTTTTACAATATAGATTGGTACTTCATTTGAACCCTTAATTGACCAAAAGAGGACTAGTTATTGTGTTCTAGTCTGAAACACTTAATTAAAGTTTTAGTGTATTTAGCCCGTTCCTCCCGTCGAGATCAACATCTGAGACCCTTTCTCCATGCTTTCCCGTGGGAAACTCTCGATTAAATGAGCTATCAATCCTCAATATTGCTGCCTGTCTAGGTCCGGGGTCTTATTGACCTATAAACGATTTATCTAAGACAATTCTAGATATTTTAGAAACCCAAAATACATAGGTAGATCTTTCTGGCAACTATACGTATGGAGAATCGTGCTTACGAGACTCAATAAGGTAAATAGTGATATAAGCAGAATACATAGTAATGCTAATGAATGTGGCCATCATAACAGTGGTAAAAAGAAAAACGCGGCTCACAGAGGTCTCAAAGGAAGCATAGAAAACAGGGAAACCAACTCATGTAGCCAATGGGCTGTGTATAGATCGCAGCTTGGACGGGTTGATGAATGGAGGGAAAAACGAGTAAACTATAGACCATCAAAGGTTATTGAGAGGAGAAGTTGTAATTTATCGCATCTACTATATGTTGTGTAATGGACCATTCGGCAGTGAAATACGTTACTCCCTACAAGCACTACGAGATCAGTTGTATCATAGACCATCCTCCCATAGGCAGGACTATGCATTGGTTATAGGTACATGTGTATCACATACAGGAATCCATTCGTGTCCACCCTGTCGACCGGCGAATTTAAATTGAGCGCAAAAAAAAGGGCGACTGTCAGTGGCTGAACTGCACAAATGGCAACTGCAGGCAGCCCTAAGGAGATGGCCTACTCTGGCAACTCCTCCCCTTCATATGCCACATCGTCTGGTGATACTTGTTCTTCTGGAACCAACACTGGGATACCTTGGCGCTCCACAAGTTTGCCTGACTGGGCTTTTTGGAAGATGTTGACTTCGTATGTGTTTTTCACCAGCAAATGATAGGT